AATTGTAGCATGGCTTCGTTTACGGTGGAATCTCCTGATAACATAGGCGTTTTTTGCCTACTCAGAAATGACAGTAGAAGTCTTGACTGGCGCCATTTGCAATTACGAGTTTTCTTTAGCTTATTTTTTTTTTTTTTTTTTTTTTACATAAATTGGCAAATGCTTTCCAAGTAAAGATTACATAATTGTGCTTTTAGATAAAATGTCAGTGGCCTAAGGGACAATCAAATCTAGTGACGGTTTGGAGCCTTGAACCTTTCAGGTAATATTTTATACTAGTAAGGTTGCAATATTGCTCAGTCTATATTTCTGAGATGAGATATTGTATTTATTTACACTATTTACATTGTTCGAATTGCTGTCTTCGTTGCCATATTCCCCCAAATTATCAAAAACTTTGTTTTTTCTCTGATAATCTTTTGTGGTTTAATAGGACTGAAGTTAGGGGAGTGAAAATTTGGCCTTGTGAAGTATATTCCTTCCGTCCACAAAGAAAAAGGAAATGAAAAGAAGAAAGCAGATAAAGTGTAAATCCAAATGTTTTATATTCCAGAAATTGTTGAACTGTTATTATTATTATTAAATAAGTACCACGAGAAAACCGTGAAACCTAAGGTTTAAAATGAATTTTTAAAAATGAAAAATCTTTATTGAAGCTTTTATTTTAGCTTTAATTTCAAACTAATAGATTAAATTTAATATTCCTAATAAGCAAAATACTTTTTTCTGTATTTCAAAACTAACTTAAATTGACTGGAATGAGTTTTCGTTTTGAAATTGCTAACAACGCTGATTTTAGCACCATTTTTAGACATCTCTGATCACAATGTAATTCTCTTCATTATAAATCTTTCAAAAATAAAAACTTTTCTGAAACTTTATTTAAGGAATATTAGCCGAATTAAAGTTTAATTAATCAGATTTGAATAAATATTACTTACTTTAAGCTTAAATTATCGTAGAAATGCATTTTTTAACACATCGGTAGCTGTTTATTTAAAAGGTTGCTTGACGGAAGGTTAGATGAACATATCTGTAAAATTTACTTGACGGAAGAAATATTTTCAAAATAATGTTTTTAATTTTTTTTTTCTACGATGAACATATCTCAGTAAAAATTTCATTTTGAATAAATCCTGAAAGTTTCATTAAAAATCTGGCAATTATTTGATTTTAGGAATAAATAACTTTTCCTCATCCCACCTCACCCATGACGCAAAAAAAAAAGACTTTTTAATATAATTTTAACTAAAACGAGTTTGGGTAATCAGTTTAAAATTAGGGAAATATTTTTTGGTTTCTATTGAAAACTCATTTCCTTAGGACATAAGATCAGATAAATGAATTTTGTATAGATAAAGCTTTTCATAGGACGTACTGTACTTTAGAGCCTTCGGAACCTTTTTCTTATTGTTTCATGTACTAAATTTTTAAAATCAACTAAGGTTGATGGGTTTTTTATATTTTTACACCCTGCAGGAACTGTCATATCAATATCACTTTGATGTCTATGTCTGGATGATTAGATTTGATTGTTCTGCCTGTTACATAAAATTGCTACAGGACCTATGTCTAACTGAACCCGGGTGGTGTTCATACCAATTTCTTGCAGTTTCCTTCTCGTAAGAGTTGCGGATTTCCAGTGCATATATTAGACCACTCCCTCATGACGTTGCATGCTTTAACCTAATACAAGATGGTCAATTTTCTGGGATTATTATTTTTTTTAATTTTCTTTTGATTTCTGGCGTCTACACATTTCTTTCCGGTCCCAACTCAGGGACCTAATAGAAATGGCCATGAAATCAAAAAAAAAAAATAAATAAATAAATAAATTACATAGAAAAAGTGTGGGCTGTACTTGCCAGAACAATTTTTGTATCTCCTTGAGGCATGGACTTCAGGTTTTAATTAGTCTACTGCAATCTTTTCCAACCAGTCTGTCCAACTGCAGGTTGATGTTCTCATATCGATTTATTATTATTATTATTATTATTATTATTATTATTATTATCTAAAATCTCTTTTTCGTTATTATTCGACTTTTAGAATAGAATTTCTGCCTCTTGGCTTTTTAATATTGATGAGAAGAAACGCTGTCTGCTTTCTTCATTTCAAAATCCTTTCTGGTTTACAAGAAGGGGAAGTTTATTTCTGGATATGTTTGTTACTATGGGGATTTGATTAGAGAGCGTCAACGATGGTCCATGATTTTTGGCTTTGCGACGTGTTAAGAGTTTCCTATATTGAGACGCCTCTGGAATAGAATGAATGGCCTTCTTCGTTTTGCAATCTAGTGCAACCTAAATGGTTGGCAATCACCCACATCTTTCGTCAAGAACCCAAAAAAAAATGTGGGACGGACAAATGATGATATATACTAAACTTGAGCTTACTTTGAAACGAGCCCACAACTATGGGACAGCAAACCACTCCATTTTTCCAAGAATTTATAATTTATGTTTCTAGTATTGCTTCTTTTTTAATTGTAATTCCTTTTTTTAAAAAACAAGGTGATTAAGCCACTAAGATGTTTGGGGTTAGGAATTTGACAGTTGACGTTGCATTTCTGAGTCTGATTATTATGCCTCCACCTCCTCCTGTCCCTTGTAGCTCTCGATAAGTTTTGTCTTTTTTCTTATTTTCCCAGACCCTTTTAATGTGTCACGTTGTTTTCCCTGTTCATCTTTCCCTCCGTGTCCGTCCTGTGAGTATTAAAACGTGTTCTAGAAATTTAGCTGCCTCTTCCTGATGATAAGTATAAGTTTCTTGTTTTCTCTTTGTTTCCTTTCTTATCTCGTCGTTGGTCACATGTTCGTTCCACATCTTCAGCATCCTTCTGTAGAATGTCAGCATTCACTGCCATACATGAGGACAGAACGTAACAGTTCAGTACTTTTTTTCTTTTTTAATGAAACTTTCCTGTCTCTTAATACTCTGCTTAGCTTTTGGAATGCATCTTTGAGTGTCTTCGTATCTCAGTGTCGCACTTTCCGTTCTCTGTTAGATCATTTATATTTAAATGATTTTAGTGTCCTTAATAATTATTTTGGGCTCAATTTTCACCATTAAACTGCCAATGTGTCATCTTCATTTTTTAAATTGTGGAGCCAACATTCTCTGTATAGTTTAATTAATTCCGTTGAGGAATTTATACACCCCTTTCTATGTGTTGTAACTCATTTTTTATCCGTAAGGCGGTTTTTGGCAGTATAGATTTTTTGATTATTCTAAGGTGAATATATCAAGGTTGCTGAATGGCGTACTTTGTTGAACGCCTTTTGCGTAGTTTATAAAACACGGGTTTCTGATAAAATTCTAAGCAAAATATCGCGCTCCTTGTTCTGGTGTCTTTTTGGATCTGGCCTGATTCTGCTTTAAATTCATCAGACTAAGTTTTTGTTATGTGGCTCATTAGGCTGCGTCATCGTTTCTGTCATTTCATTTATTATTTCTGTAGGAATATGCGCGTATTGTTATTTCCAGCCCGCGCTGAAGAAAAATGGGATCGTACAATTACTTTTGGCAATTTCAATAGTAAATGCCAAAATTAAGTAATTTATTTTAATTTCGCTAAAGACCTTAGGAATTTATCGTAATGTACTTAATTACTGCACCAAAACGCCAGTGTTTTTTAAAAGCATTCTGAGAATTCCAGAATATTCATTAAAACTTGTTGGTATGAATTGCTATAAAAAAAATCAGGCGGTGTCTGAACTTATACGCGTCATCTCTGTTTAGGAAATAAGAACCAAATGGAAGCGAGCCAAAATTTTTAATTGAAAAGAATATTACTTTTGGTTCTATGTTATATATAAAATGAAGATTTCTGTTTGATCTTCTGTTAGTCTGTCCGTCCATCACACCTAAAATAGCCACACATTGACCGATCGAAACCAAATTTTGGAGAAAAGTACAAATAGGTAAGAGGGCACAAAGTACTGGTGTGCGTAGCTTAGTACAATAAATTTTCATTATTTTTTTTTAGAAAAATTAAAAGTTTTATTATTTAACGTACAATTACTCCCACAATTAAAAAAAAAAACAATTTAATGATCAAAATAAAAAATACTTATTTAATAAAAATGCAATATTGTTTTTTTGCATATCTTTTCCTTAAGTTTTTATATATGCAAGAATCCAGTTTCCAGTTCGGCTTGCGTCTGCGAGAACTATAAACAAATTACAAGGCCAAACGCTTCAAAAAGTTGGAATATGGCTCCAGAAAGAAATTACGCCTGGTCAGTTGTATGTTGCATGCTCAACAGTAAGAAATCCTAAGATTTTTTTCTATGCTGTTAAAAATAAAAAAACAAAAAATAATTTGTCTATATTTCTGAGATGAGGTATTATGTACAGTATTTACATTAGTCGGACTATTGTCCTCATCTTTGTCGCCATATTTGTCACAACGTTTCGGCCGTTGTACGCTCCGGCCTTCTTCAGGTGGTTGGAATTTCGAACTGAACCCTTTATTTCGATCGCTGGGGTAGACTGTTCTAATTCCACGTGCCATGTTTGATGGATGTCAGTTATCAGTTATCTCCTTCTAATTTTCCCTCTGAAAGTTCTCCACTGCCTTAACCAGAAAAAATAATTTTTCTTAAAAAATATTCTTTCCCATGAAGCCCTATAAAATTAAATTAAATTAAAGAAATTATTAAACCGCGAAGTAGGTTTTTGTCAAAGTATTTTTCTATACAAACCAGCTTATTCAAATTTGATTGGTTTGTGAAATTGAACGAAACATAGAGTTTGTAAATCTCGACAAAACATGTTAGCGATAACTTCAACAATATTAAATACTGTGAGGATTCCAATACGTGTCAGCGTGTTGCAAAATAATTCTAGTCATTTTAAATTTCAAAAGCAACACGCATCCTTAATCACAGCTGTCGCTCCTTATTATTAAGGATTTTGATCTTGATAATGGCAGAATGATTGGCCAAATATGATCCATCAAAACGGTTGAACCATCTGACATAACTACAGATCTCACTGCCACATCAAGTTTTAAACACCGGTTCTCGTATGATCATCGAAGTTAAACAACGTCAAGTCTGATCAGTACCTAGATGAGTGACTACTTGGGAATACGAGGTACTGTTAGTTTGGATGTACGGTGGGGGGGGGGCGTAATGTATAATGGCTTAGAATTGTTAATCGGAGAGCCAAGTTTCAATTCCCGTTGGCTTTTTTATATTTACTAAAGCGCAAATATTCTTGGAAAAGGTATGATCCACCTCTTCTCCCCTAGCTATGGGTTAATTCATTTTGTATTACTAAACTATTATTAACTCAAAAATAAAATTCTTGCAATCTAAAAATACATTCTGGCTTTGAAAAGGTTGATAATCCGCAGAAAATGAATGAGTCAATAAAAAAAAAACTTATGGTCCTTTGTACGAAAACAAAAAGTTTAAGTGATTTTTTTTTTCAATTCCTTTTCTATGTTCTTTCTGTTGAAGCGAAAATTGGAATCAGAAAGCTAAGTTCAAATTCCAACCAAGTATGTTGTGTTCAATTCGTACAAATACTCTTAAAAAATGGAACAATCCATCTCTCGTCTTCTTCCAACTATGCTTTAAATTGCAGGGAGGGCTGGGCTTTAAGCTCGGGTGGCAACCAGTCAAGGAGAGAGATTACTCTGAATACGAAACCGTTGAGAATGCAACGCGATGCCACTCCACGATCTACCCAAAAAGCAATGGAAATTCACAGATATTAAATGTAGTTAAAGCTGCGTAGAACGATTATTAGCAACGTTTCGGGATAAATGGCATTTAAGAAAAATAGTGAAAGATTTCTAAGGACACACACACATACTATATATATATATATATATATATATATATATATATATATATATATATAGTTAAGATGTGCTATATTTATGGGATAAAGTGCTCAATATCAGAGATAGAGCGTGTGTAAATATAAAAGTAAACATAGAAGTCAACACTTAGAGGCGACAGTCTGTTTCATGCTAGATGCAATCGTCAGGCCACGAGTGCTGTTATTTTTCTCGGCTATTTATATATACGGGTCAGTGGTGCGTTGTGGGTAGTCTATTTTGGCGGTTATTTTACCGGAAGTCGTTTATTTGTTTATTCATTTATTTGGGTTAAATTGTTTTGCTTGTTTTTATTCTTTTATTTTTTTTATTTTTTATTTTTATTTCTTATCTTACATATTTATATTTTTATTTTAATCGCTGTTTTTATTAATGTAGTAAAAATTTGTTTATATCGCTTATTTAATAGTTTTGTTTTGGTTTTGGGAAGATAAAGCTATTTATTCAATTTTGGGGTTGATTGCTGTAGTTTATTCTAACTATTATTTTGGCGGGAACAGTTTTTAATTTGTTTATTACTTCATGTATTTATTTGGATTGATTACCTTTATTTGTTTTTTCTAACGGTTAGTTTATCGGGATCGGTTTGTTAGTTTATTTATTTATTTGGATGAATTTAGATTAATTTATTTTACTTGTTTTTTATTATTTATTTGTTATACTGTATATTATTATTTACTCTTTTCGGTTTATGATTTTTAAGTAACCTAATATTTTTTTCTTTTATCGTTATATAACAGTTATAGCTATTTTTTCGTCCGATTTTTGGTTTGATTTTTACAGTCTAACTAAAATTTTCATCATAATGGTTTGCTAATTTGTTTATCATTTACTTTATTTGTTTGGGTTCATTGATTTTATTTTTATTATTATTCTATTTCGTCTATTCTAACAGGTGTGATTTAGTAATTTGTTTGGGTTAATTTATTTTGCTTATTTTATTGTCATTTTGTTTATTTATTTTATTTTTTCCGTTTTTCGAATTTTAAATAACGTAGTAAAAATTTGTTTTCACGTCTGCATTTTGAGATGAGCTCGGATCTTTTATTTAATAATTTATTTTGGTCTGAGAAGGTAACGATAGCTATTTTTTTCCTACAAGCAAAGTTTGCAACTTTTTGATTGGTTTTTGTAGGCTGAAGATCATTTCCTTATTTTCCAAGATATTTTTGGTGTGATGTGCGTTTTGTTTTTAATTTCCCAGATATACTTAGAAAGAATTGTGCTGTTCGCATATTTACTATTTGTGAAAGATGTTTTGCGTACATAATTTCTTTGTTTCCAGAGTCCTTCAGTTACTCCTATGTATACTTTTTCTTCATTATCTTGGAATTTTATCGTGGCTTGGTATATTACGTTGTTTTGTAAACAATTACTGTTTAAGGGACATTCGTTCTTTATTCTGCAGTTGCACGTGGATTTAATTTGTTCGTGTGGTTTGTTGATAATTTTCCTGTTGTGCTATTTTATTATTTGTGCCATGTTCTCAGTGCAACTGTAGTTGATTTTTACTGTGGTTTTGTTGACTATTTTGTATAGGGTGCTTGATTCCGAGAAGTGTTTGTGTAAGAGTTGAAATTGAAATTGATATATATATATATATATATATATATATATCGTACGCCGACATTTGTTTCCTTGAATCCAGCCTTGTTGAATCATTTCGGTTTCGAGATCGTGTTAGATTTCTACACTTTTCACATGTCCAAATCGATAGATGGTTGTCGCATTTGGAGCTGATCGTCGGTTCCGTTTTTTTCGCATGACCAATTTTATAACTGATTATCGCCTTTATAGCCGTCTGTCCGTTCCATTCGAAGATCGAAGTTGGACTCACTTGCGCATATCTAAATACTTCTTTCGCATATCCAACGAAATCTATAGCTGACTATCGCAGTCATATCAGACTCGTCCTTCCTAAGACCGGAGAGGGACTTTTTTTCACATAACCATCACAGCAGACATGTCCGTTCAGCCCAATGGCTGAAGAGGGACTTCTTCACCTGGCCAAATTCATAACGGACTATCGCATTTATAGCGTACCTGTCCGTTCAACCCGAAGGCTGGACAGGGACTAACTTTGCGCTGTTCATTTTTTTTTCTTTTGTTTTTGTTATTTTTAGTGTCTTTGCTTCATCACGTGGTCCTTGATTTCCAAACATGAACCTTTTTCCTGTGTGAACGAAAAGTGGTCACTGACCCTTTCTCTGACCTGCAGGGTTTCAGAGAGTTTGTTTACCATCTGGGTTTCATCCGGTTAAACCATGTTGTCAACACAAAGAGAAAGGGAAATGTAGAGTCTTTACTCGATGCGTGCCAATTTGGTTAAAATCTGTCAACATTCAATTTTACTTTATCTCTCTGCTTTTTTTATTTTTACGCTTTCTGAGAGTACTGGCTTTTTTTTAAGTGCTTCTAAAATATAAGCATTGGTATAGATTTTATAATAAATTTAGATGAGGGTTCGTAACAATATGAAGAAATATAGTTTTAAGGTGCGCTATATTTATGGGATAAAGTGCTCAATATTAGAGATAGAGCGTCTGTAAATATAAGTATAAAAGTAAACATTGAAGTCAACACTCAGAGGCGACAGGCTGTTTCATGCTGGACGCAATCGTTCATTGTTTCTCTTACATGTTTTCACTTTGCTCAATGTATTTTTTCATGTTTGTACTTTCACGTAAGCCTGGCATGGGATCTTTTGTATTATGTTTCTCTCTGCTTGTTTTACCTTTTCATGCTATGTAAATTTGTGCAAGTGTGGCACAAGATCATGTGTTGATCTGTAATTTAACTTTCGGAGAGGATAAGTTCTCCTCCCACTATTCTGTACCACAATGTTTATTTTTGTATTATTGTTTTTGGTTTTGCCCGTCTTTCATTTTCTCTCCGTTTGTATATTTTCATAATAAATTTAGTACTTTTTGTCATTTATCTCGTTTACCGTTGATTGTCGCTCATAGCGTTTGTTTCTTAATCGGTACCACTCGGCCGTGTCTGATCAACCGGAAAGAGACCCTCGAGGAAAGAAATTTGTTATAATAATTGTATACACGTTAAAAATAATAATACAGGTTGCGATTCTCCTCTATCTCCGCTATCGATCCGGTTAGAGGATGGGGGAGGGTCGTAATATATATATATATATATATATATATATATATATATATATATATATAATTTTTCTCGCCGGAGTCGATCCTTCAAATCTACAAATCAGCCATTCGCACTTGCATGGAGTATTGCTGCCATATATGATCTGATGCGCCTTATGTTTGTCTCAAGGTTCTTGATAAGATCCAGAGACGGATATGCAACGTAATTGGCCCTGATCTGTCATCTCGTCTGCAGTCGCTCTGTCACAGACGTGCCTCCCTCTATCTTTTTTACAAATACTTTCATGGTAACTGCTCCGAGGAGCTGCTTTCGTGGTTCCCAAACTTCTTGAATTTAAGCATTCTACTAGGCTGGCATCTCGCTCTCACCCTTTCACTGTCGAAACTGTTAAATGTAGCCGTCTCTTCTACTCCAATAGCTTCATGTCTCGCACCTCTCGCTTGTGGAACTCCCTCCCGTCTTCCTGTTTCCCTGATAGCTATAATCTCCAACTATTCAAATGTAATGTCAATCGACGTCTCCAGATGCCCTGATCTATCCCCTATTCTTCTCTTCATCCTTTCCTCTATCACTCCAATTTGCTCTAGCTTTTAACTCTCTGTAACCCCTTGCGTGCTAGTGGCTTCCCGCCTTGCTTGGGGTGAAACGCTTATATATATATATATATATATATATATATATATATATATATATATATATATATATATATATATACTAAAGAAAAAGCTACTATATTGGAAGAGCAACAGACAACTTGCCAGAAGACCTAACATCTTAGATAAGAAAAAATCTGGAACAAGAAAGAAAAAAGAAAGAAAGACCAAAAGGCAAACACCTACCTACTCAGTCCAGTAAATGGTCAACGCCCAGATTACCTAGAGATAGCAAGAAACGTTTCACGACGTCAACACTTGACAAAGGACAGACCCAGTCGTTACTCCAATTTCACACCTTGTCATCGCATAAGCATGAAACTCCTGTATGCACACACACACAAACACACCCATGTGTGTGTGTGTGTGTGTGTGTGTGTGTGTGTGTGTGTGTGTGTGTGTGTGTGTGTGTGTGTGTGTGTGTGTGTGTGTGTGTGTGTGTGTGTGTGGAGTAACGGATAGCGGCTTGGATTGAGGAATC